CGAGATTTGCTATTGCTTTTTGTCCTGTTCTGCGTTTGAACAGCACAGGGTTAAGAATACGGCCACTTCTCAACTTCATGGTTTAGGTCTCTTGATCGGTAACTACGTGATATCGTAAGGGCAAGGAGGAGAGGAAGAATGATAAAGATTGCTCCTTTCAACATATAATTACTTGCGATTCAGGCGCAATGCTAATAAATTGTAACGTCATACATTTCCACCTGTTCGAGCGGACCAATAGAAATCTATTTCAGTTCAGGCGCAATGCAAATGAGTTCAGGCGCAATCCTGACGTCATTTCCGACTTATCAAACGGACCAATCAGGAGCGCGAACGGTTCAGGCGCATTTCAGGCGCAAAAACCGGGCTCGAACGGTGCTGAATATACTACTAGAATCTTCCAGTGATATGTCAAAAATGCTGTTGCGTGTAAAATAAAGTAAACTTGCAGCGGAAGATCTAGGGGAGAGGTGCATGGGGATTTTGCTCCCCCATCCCCATAGATCCCTAAATGAGATGTTATCTACTGCATTATTGGTGTTTGAGTTTGTAAGCAAAGGGTGCACCCCCTCCTAAAACGAAAATCCTGGATGGTGCCCCCCCCCCCCTTAGAAAAAATTCTGGATCCGCCCCTGACTTGCTCGGCAATTGTGCACCAGCATGCGCAGAATAAATTCTTGACAAGAGCGCAGTGAAAGCAGAAGTGAAAGATCATCAAGGTATGCATGCTACGAATAACTTGTTTATACTTTACCACAAGAGATATACCCCCTCTTCCGCCACTAAAAACTCCGCTCCTACTACTCTGTTTTACATAAACTTGTCAAAATACAAAATCGAAACGAAATTATTACGTTTAATTATTTTAAAAAAATGGCTGAACATGAAATACCTGTCATTATACTTACCTGCGTGGCAGAGTAAGAAATCGCTTGTCGGATTCATTGAATTGAATATGTCAGTACATTTGCAAAGGCCGAATGTCTGAAGATGTCTGGTCACCACAAAATCTGTCTCATTTATCATCATTTTCTAACTTCCGGTCAGGGGTTGAAAATGAGAACAACAACATTAGATCAAGAATTATTTCTTTCAAATATTCTCAAAATGAGCTGATATCGTTTACTCTGTAGCCTTCAAAAGCTCAGCGTTCATGTTAAACAACACCTTACAGGTAATTCTGCCACGAATACAGGAATTTTGAAGCTTGAAGAAACTATAAATGCTGTATTGTTTCGAACGAGAATTCGATGACTTGTGTATTCTGTTGAAATTCCTTTAAAGAACCACTTTATTATTTTCTTGGATTTTAGCTGTTTACGACCAAGGTAACTCGTTAAATGCTTATTGAGTTTCCAAGAAACATTTCCTTGTGAAAATTTGGAAAGCTGAGCACCACAAAAGACACGATGTAATGTAAAGGTAGGTTGAAATTGACGAAAATTGCAAATAGTCCTTTGTTTACTTTGAATAAAAATTAATTTTACCATGTTTGCAGACTAGAACATTTTGCAAGACATTTGTTGTTTAGGTATTACCCTTCAACCTCTAAAGTGGATGTTCGTCTATACTCCACATTACATTGTGCCTTTAAACTCTTCCATCATTCACG